TAACTATTTTACATTTGACAAATTGACTAATACCTTTTAGTTTTTGTTTGAATCACATTAGGACTTCAATTAGCGCCTTGTAAAATAGTTTTCTCATGGAATCCAGATCATAAGAAATGGCAGCCTGTTCAAATAAAAAATTAATAGTTAATAATGTTCTTGTGACATTAATAAATTTTTGCACATTTCAATTTGTAAGATGTCTGCTAAAGATCTGGAGATCTGGAAAACATCTGCTGTGTAAATACATCTGATAAACATCTTAGAAAGAGCAGTTTTACGAACATTCTAAACAATAAACATCTTACAGACATCTTCTAGATGTCTATTTGACATCTGACAGGAGACGTCAGACGTAGGCTATTGCAGATGAGCAAACACTCTAAAAAAATACATCTTGCAGTTGTAAATGCATACATCAAATAGACGTCTCCAAGATGTTTGTGTGCTATCAGGGTTGTTGCTTTTCGCAGAATTTCGTACCCGCTCACCAAATTTACAAAAGAGGTTTGCAAGGGGAAAAACACTGGCCATTTGACACTCAAGGTAAAAAACTTACGTAAAGTATGTGAAATAAGTTTTCATTTCACCAGTTCTGTTTGTATCTCATTTTATTGATATTAACTAGATATCGATGTCAGCAACTCCCATTGATAAACCTGTATCTGTTAACGGAAAATAAAAGCCCTCTTATAAACCCAAAGAATCACAGGTCACCCTTCCTTCTATCCAGGTTTTTGGTTTTCTACTAGGAAAATCTTCACACATGACAACACTGCTCTCAGAACTGCGAGATGTTAATTATTTCCCGCTGGAGTTCCCCTCACTTCCATTGGTATCGATCTCCTCTGCTAGTTCTGAGGTGTTTGGTACGTTAATATTTTTCCAACGTGATGTACATTATCGAACCTCTAGACATGTTTCTTTCCCTCTCCTATAGCACGGGAGCATCTCTGATGAGATTGTTGCCCACGTAAAAGCCTTGCTTTCTGCATTGCAGGAGTGGCACAATATATGTGACTGACAGCTTTGTAGAGGCGCTGCTCTGTGAACTGAGCGCTTGAGTGGAATACAATGAGAAATCTGTCTGCTTGGGACTCTGCCCGGCCGAAAATGTGTCACTTTGACACCAGTGCCAGGTTTTTTGAAGGCCAGCCTCTGTCACTTTTCTCCATGGCTCTATTTGTCACCTCTCTTTTCACTATGGCTCTCAGAATCATAAAACTCTTGATCTGGAATATGGGGTTTTAAAGACCATTGTCTATAATATAGAGAATGAATCATGCAATTTGATTTAAAGGGTTAGTTCACCCAAAAATGAAAATTCTGTCATTAATTACTCACCCTCATCCAAACTCGCAAGACCTTCGTTCATCTTTGGAACACAAATTAAGATATTTTGGATGAAATCCGAGAGCTTTCTGACCCTGCATAGACAGCAAGCAACTACCACGTTTAAGGCTCAGAAAGGTATAAGGACATTGTTAAAATAGTCAATTTTCCTGTGGCTCCTTCGTCAGCAGCATCACACGCATGCGTCATGGTACTCTCGTGAACGCACGTCGAAGACTGACACGGATGAGAAGAAATTGTTGAAAAAAGTCGTTATTTTTGTTTTCTTTGCACACAAAAGTATTCTCGTAGCTTCATACAATTACAGTTGAACCACTGATATTTTAACAATGTCCTACTACCTTTCAGGGCCTTAAACGTTTCAGCTGTGTTGCTGTCCTTTTTCCCCGCATTCCTGGTACAGTATTTCATTCACTTGATTATCCAAAAAAGGCAGTGCCATAAAATTAAATTAAATACAAAATAGTAGTAGTTTTGGCTGAATTTTAATATATTTATTGTTATTATTATTGTGATTAACTTATCTTTAAAATTGGTCATATCTATCCCTTATCTGGAGGTTAAGACAGCACTGCATCCCCCAGATGGGGAATTCTCTCCCAATATATCATGCATTAACATACAAGTCTGATTATACTCTCTCATCTGTAATGCAGGGTTCTCCCCTGTTTCCCAAAACAATCGTCCTAATTGGGAGTGCAGTATCATTTCAGAGCTCAGGGGACCTGTGGGAACCGAGCTGATGAAGCTTTAACACAGAAAGTACTGGGCTCTCGACCCTTAATGAGAGAGACGCGTTTGAAAGGAAAACAGTGTCAGTCTTGTACTCAACAGTGTGAACAAATGACATTAATTCTGTTGTTGTGGCTGCCACCATAACTATATAGGGGTGTGTGATGGGTCACAAGCTTATAAAGCAAAATCAACATCAGCTTAATCAGTATTTTGTCTGGTTTTCCCGTTTATTTTTCCTACCCAACTGTGCAAATTGTGTTTGACCTTACTAAATTATGTCACATTTATGCTTAATACAATGCTTAAAACAATTTTCCAGTTAAGAAAAATAGGCTTAAACCAAGATACATTTTTGTAAGACTTTTTTATGCGGTTTTGCAATCACTCTTTATTAAATGCGTCTTTGCTGAATAAAAGAATACATTCCTTTAAAATAAAAAATGAAAAAAGCTCAATGACCCCAAACTTTTGAACGGTGCATTTTTATTGGAAAACAAGAAGTTTATTTTTTTTCAGTGTTTTACTCTGATCTGAGACCATTATTGGTTCACATAATGAGTAAATTCAGCCTTGAGCTGATTGTGGGGAATGACTTTCTGAAGCGCAAGTATTATAGATTTGTGGAATCTGAAAAGAGGCCAATTTTGTTCTTTTTTTTATCCTGCTGCACGAGTGCAGATAGATTTATTAGACACTATCAGCAGCTGTTTTAATTGTGTGGAGCAGCCAGTAAGACCTATTAATAATGAGCCTCTGGCAAGAATCCATGCTGGCAACCTCTGAAGCTTTTGAAGTTATCTTTTTGTTTCACAACAATGAACAGCATCCAAGAACTCAGAGGCTCTAATTAGACTTTCTGAAGCTGTGAATTTAGGCCACAGAAACAGACCTGCTAATTTCCATTTGTATATGTTTGAAAATATTAATGATTGTCAGCACTTTAATACTGAAGTTTGTGAAAGCTATATTTGTGCCTCTAATAATTGTTACCAAACAGGTTTTCCAAACATACTACAATACTAGTGTGCTGCTTATACCGCACAGTGTACACTAAATACTTCCTACTAAACAAATAAGTTTGTGAAATGGTATGAATTTGGAAGGGCATACTAGTAGCATAAGCTTATTTCTACAATATAAAAGATATGACTGAAATAGTAAGAGTAGTATGCTAGTGTGCTATTCTGAATTCAGCCATAGAACGTTCAGATGACTTATTGTATTTACCAAAATTGTCAATATATAGAGTACACTGCATTGACTTGACTTTCACTTTCCAGTGTGAAGAATGGACCAGAAGTATTAAACATGAAAAGTGATGAGGTTAAGTGACACTGTAGCATATTATAGTTTTAAATGTGTAAAATGGAATAATGTTTGTTATTTCACTTATTATATTTGACCAATTTTATAAAAGTAGGCATTATACAGCATAGCGGTAAACTAGTATTCCATTCTGAACATAGCCATTATATATTGTACCCTATAAAGCTAATTTGATCAGATTTGCTACACAAATTTCTAAGGCCCCTAAATTATCAACATGAACAAAACTTTGATGAAAAACCCCAGTCTAATAAATGCATAATAATAGAATTAGTATAAAATAAATAGTATAATATAAATCATGTTAAAATGTGAGTATCAAGTGATACCACAGGCTTTTGAGGAACGTTTCTTTGTACTTCTCTCAATCATCAATGTATTGCATTCCATTATAGGAGTTGATTTGATAAGTGTTGAAACATTACATTACAAACTATCAGAATTAATTAAAAATGTTTGGCCATATAAATAACAACTGCACCAAATTGCACTTTAAAGCCAGACATTATTTGGCTTTACAGGATAAAAACAGTTGTGTGATAATTAAATCTCTTGCAGCTTTAATTCAGTTTAAACATTCACATCAGCTTTTAGACCTACTGCAATAGTGTATACAGAGCTATCAGCCAGTCAGAAGGTGTTTAGGTGAGATATGGCAGGCAGTCGGCTCTCGTGGTGCTCTTTTTGTTCTGAGACAGCTGAGGTTAAGGAGTCTGCCAGGATGCTGACTGGTAAAGTTATGAGTTTTATCCCCCCCCCCCAACACAGATCTCTCATTCACCTTTACCCCTAAGGGAAGGTAAGAAGCGGTGGCTTCACTTCTCCCTTTGAAACCACAAACATAAGACAGAGATAATGAAGATTACGTTTTATGGACAGTCAATGAGTAAACACTTACTCCACGCTCCCCCCTCTCTGCCACCAGTAGTGATTTTCCACTAGCCTTGAAGTGCTGTTTATTGTTCCTGATTATGACTGATGGTCTCGTAACCGTCCCAACCTGCCCGTCAGATACACCGCTATAGCGTTTTTCTTCAGCCTTGGCTGTCACAGAGGCATTCTGGGACCTGAAAACACATCTAATATACTGCTTCTTAAGAGAACTCTCACTCGTCTCATCCGTTCGGCTTTGTTGCAGTGGATTCAGCTTCGAAAAACAGTCGAGAATGCATCTCTGCATGCTTCCAAGCCCTGAAACACCAACCTCGCCCCCCTGCATAGCGGAACATAGCACCCCCACACAGACTTTCATGTACATAAAGCTGTTGTAGGTGAAATGAGGCACCATTCGGTGGAAATTAAGACACGACAGAAATATGAGACTCAATTAGCTTCTCATTTTTCACTCGAGGAATTCTTTTCTTGCTGGTTTTAATGAAGGAACGCTCTAAATGACACAGATTTCTGTCAGAGTGAGGTCCTTTCGTTCTTCCCCGGAGGCTTGCTGCACTAATGCACAAGTCTCACTTGAAATCCCCGCTCTGAGGCAGTGCAAATGAGGCAGCACTAATACATTCTCCCTCAGCGGTGCAGGGACTATGTGTATGAGAGGGGAAAAGTTAACGCAGTTGCTTTTGTTTTTTGAGCAGGACCTCGGAAGCACGGGAGGACCTCCTCGGAATTGGAAGGGAATTGGGATCGCCATGGTGGTCATCTTGGGGGTCATGTCTCTGGTCACCCTCTCAATTTTTCTGCTCACACCTGGTAAGACGGAGATTGAAGGAGTAAATGAATATAAATTGAATCAAATGGAAACCAAGGATAAAGAAAGAGAAATGTGAGATCAGCTACAATAAGTGAAGAAAGAGAAATGGGAAAACAACAGAAGATTATAGAGGATTTATGTGAGCGCCAGAGAGCTCATATATAAGACATCCATTCATAAACAAAAATACAAAAAGACAAGCAGAAACAAAGCAAGAAACACTCAAAATGGGTTTGTTTTGCTGCTTGCTCAGTTTAGCTTTAAAAATGAGTTTGTGCAACAAATATTTTTTTGTCTTTCTATAACAGAACTTTGCTTAATCCATTTGCATTAATCTGACATTTGCTTAATCCGACTACCTACACAATTTGTGTTTGTTTTTGTGCACTGAGCCTTAACATTTCCCAGTACGCTTTGGGGGAGACTGGATAGGGAGAGTAAATGTTGAAATGAAGTAATTATTTTATTCATTTTTGAGCAAGATGAGAAAAGGGAAACTTGTTTGTGCTGTTATGTTGGGATATATAAGAGTTTTTGTTATATTTTGAGTTGGGTAAAAATGTCCAAAGCCAAGTTTCACCCGCTTTTGGCACTTGGCGAATGTCCAGCATAACAGAAGCTATTCTAGATCCCAACGTAACAGAACATTAAACAATAATATGTTTTTTTTTTTCATATTCAGTAAATAAAACCACTTGGCTGCTAACTTTATTTGTAAATGCAATATATAGTTTACATTTAAATATAATAACAATTTTATTAAGGAAGAAAATACTGAGTGCATCTCAAAAAACACTTTCCACAGATTAATTACGTTTATTTTTATTACTATTTTTGGTAACACTTTTATACATAATGCATTATATTGTTATATTCTGAGTTTGATAAAAGTGGCCAAAGCCAAGTTTCACTTTTGGTAGTTTTATTGCATTAATTACAGTATGCCTTATAACGCACCTTATAATGCATTGTACAATCTAATGAATAATTGTAACCTCAGTTAATATATTATAACACTTATCAATTCATTGTTTCACTATGCATTTTAAATTCTGTTATATAATTATTTACGACAAGATATAATGTACTATTTATAATGCATTGTACCCTTTAATAACCCTTTGTAATGCATTATACATAAAGGCTTTAAGTAAAGTGTTACTCTATTTTTTACAGCCTACTGCATTTGCATCATTTGCATCAAGATTTTGAGTTTGTTAAATAATCCTGTACATTCTAGTTACAGACACTATTTTTCCTCAGGAGTTGTGGTTGTCCTCAACTGACTGCTTGATCTTGTATTTCAGACGAGTCTCACCTCCTGCTGCTGTCTCGTCTCACTCTGGAGAACCTGGAGAGCGAGGATTTCAGAGTTCATGACCCATGTGCGACGTGGCTAAATGGTGAAAACTCCTATTGTACAAATAGTGTTTAATGGAATGGTTTAAGTTCATTGATTTGATGCTCGTGGACATTTAGGGCTCCTGCAGTGCAACATGTCATTGTCTTGAAATGCAACAGGAGGCCAATGTGTTTTTCTACTAATGGTTAAAATTAGGGATGCACCGATACCACTTTTTCCAGTACTCGCCCGATACCGATACTTTTATTTTTGGTACTTGCCGATACCGATGCCGACATCTAATATACTGTTTTGTAAGAAAACTCTCGCTCGTCTCATCCATTCGCCTTTGTTGCAGTAGATTCAGTTTCGAAAAACAGTCGAGAACGCGTCTCTGCATGCTTCCAAGCCCTGAAACGCCAACCTCGTCCCCCGCATAGCGGAAAATGACACCCCCATGCACACTTTCATGTACATAAAGCTGTTATAGGTGAAATGAGGCACCATTCGGTGTAAATTAAGACACAACAGAATTATGAGACTCAATTAGCTTCTCATTTTTCACTCGAGGAATTCTTTTCTTGCTGGTTTTAATGAAGGAACGCTCTAAATGACACAGATTTCTGTCAGAGTGAGGTCCTTTCGTTCTTCCCCGGAGGCTTGCTGCACTAATGCACAAGTCTCACTTGAAATCCCCGCTCTGAGGCAGTGCAAATGAGGCAGCACTAATACATTCTCCCTCAGCGGTGCAGGGACTATGTGTATGAGAGGGGAAAAGTTAACGCAGTTGCTTTTGTTTTTTGAGCAGGACCTCGGAAGCACGGGAGGACCTCCTCGGAATTGGAAGGGAATTGGGATCGCCATGGTGGTCATCTTGGGGGTCATGTCTCTGGTCACCCTCTCAATTTTTCTGCTCACACCTGGTAAGACGGAGATTGAAGGAGTAAATGAATATAAATTGAATCAAATGGAAACCAAGGATAAAGAAAGAGAAATGTGAGATCAGCTACAATAAGTGAAGAAAGAGAAATGGGAAAACAACAGAAGATTATAGAGGATTTATGTGAGCGCCAGAGAGCTCATATATAAGACATCCATTCATAAACAAAAATACAAAAAGACAAGCAGAAACAAAGCAAGAAACACTCAAAATGGGTTTGTTTTGCTGCTTGCTCAGTTTAGCTTTAAAAATGAGTTTGTGCAACAAATATTTTTTTGTCTTTCTATAACAGAACTTTGCTTAATCCATTTGCATTAATCTGACATTTGCTTAATCCGACTACCTACACAATTTGTGTTTGTTTTTGTGCACTGAGCCTTAACATTTCCCAGTACGCTTTGGGGGAGACTGGATAGGGAGAGTAAATGTTGAAATGAAGTAATTATTTTATTCATTTTTGAGCAAGATGAGAAAAGGGAAACTTGTTTGTGCTGTTATGTTGGGATATATAAGAGTTTTTGTTATATTTTGAGTTGGGTAAAAATGTCCAAAGCCAAGTTTCACCCGCTTTTGGCACTTGGCGAATGTCCAGCATAACAGAAGCTATTCTAGATCCCAACGTAACAGAACATTAAACAATAATATGTTTTTTTTTTTCATATTCAGTAAATAAAACCACTTGGCTGCTAACTTTATTTGTAAATGCAATATATAGTTTACATTTAAATATAATAACAATTTTATTAAGGAAGAAAATACTGAGTGCATCTCAAAAAACACTTTCCACAGATTAATTACGTTTATTTTTATTACTATTTTTGGTAACACTTTTATACATAATGCATTATATTGTTATATTCTGAGTTTGATAAAAGTGGCCAAAGCCAAGTTTCACTTTTGGTAGTTTTATTGCATTAATTACAGTATGCCTTATAACGCACCTTATAATGCATTGTACAATCTAATGAATAATTGTAACCTCAGTTAATATATTATAACACTTATCAATTCATTGTTTCACTATGCATTTTAAATTCTGTTATATAATTATTTACGACAAGATATAATGTACTATTTATAATGCATTGTACCCTTTAATAACCCTTTGTAATGCATTATACATAAAGGCTTTAAGTAAAGTGTTACTCTATTTTTTACAGCCTACTGCATTTGCATCATTTGCATCAAGATTTTGAGTTTGTTAAATAATCCTGTACATTCTAGTTACAGACACTATTTTTCCTCAGGAGTTGTGGTTGTCCTCAACTGACTGCTTGATCTTGTATTTCAGACGAGTCTCACCTCCTGCTGCTGTCTCGTCTCACTCTGGAGAACCTGGAGAGCGAGGATTTCAGAGTTCATGACCCATGTGCGACGTGGCTAAATGGTGAAAACTCCTATTGTACAAATAGTGTTTAATGGAATGGTTTAAGTTCATTGATTTGATGCTCGTGGACATTTAGGGCTCCTGCAGTGCAACATATCATTGTCTTGAAATGCAACAGGAGGCCAATGTGTTTTTCTACTAATGGTTAAAATGTTCGATTTATGGCATTCATTCAGGCTGCATTTCAATTCACATTCAGTTTTTATTATATAGCATGCAAGATTTGAGTTACTGCATCCCAAATTCTAATATATTGATATTATTTTTTTTTTAAAGTGACTGAACGGTATATTACTTCAAGTTTAAAGTGTGCATCCCTGCATGTTTTTTGGGCTAATATTGCCCACAACACCTCTGTTTGTGTTTGTGTTGGTTCTCTTTTGACTTTTTTTTGTAGTAAAATTGTAAGGAATGTGATGCCAAAGTTGCCTTCGCAGTATTGAAATGTAAAGATGAAGTGTGTAATATTTAGATTTTAAAATGCAGTTTGACTTATTGTAAGTAAGGTTTTTATAAAGTAATATATATATATATATATATATGTATACTGTATATACTTACGTTTTTGAAAAGTCTCTTATGCTCACTAAGGCTGCATTTATTTGCTAAAAAATACAGTAAAATAGTAATATTGTGAATTATTATTATAATTTAAAATAACATATCTATTTATATTTTTTTAATACATTTTTTGCTGAATTTTTAGAAGCCATTACTTCAGTCTTAAGTGTCACATGATCCATCAGGAATTATTTTAATATGCTGATTTGGCCCTTAAGAAACAATACTTATTGTTATCAATGTTAAAAATGGTTGTGCTGTTTAATATTTTTTGAAAACTGTAATATATTGTTTTTCTTTGACGAATAGAAAGTTAAAAAGAACAGTGTTGATTTGAAATAGATTTTTTGTGTCAGTGTAAATGAGTTTACTTTCACTTTTGATCAGTTTAATGCATCCTTGCTGGATAAAAATATTAATGGTACGGTAGTGTACTTTTCCATCACCAGGGAAGTACTGTTCATACTGTACTCTTAGTGCATATTCAAAATATGCTAATTAGGATGCAGTTTAGCTGCAGGTCAGTCCGGAGCTCAGCTACTGAATGTTGATCTTTGTGTTTTACAGAGAACGAGGTGTCACTTTGCACACGGGAGGGTCACGTTTTAATCCACAGTCTCAGCACCAATCTAACCACCACGCTATTGGACAACAGCACCCTGGTGAGTGGATACTTACACATGCATGCACTCATAGTAAATAAAGGCTATGCCAACACACACATACAGTCTTCCTCTCATCCCAAACCACCAGTGTAAAGCAGCTCTCTGGAGAATTACAGCCCCCTTGAGGCATGTGAGCAGGACAAGACGTACAACTCCATTAGCTCCATTCTCATGGAACCTGACAAATGGGTCACTCCGTAGAAAGAGAGAGCGTATGGACTGGTAGCTGAATGTCTTTGAAGAAAGAATCAGAATGCTTAAAAATGAGCAAAGAGAAAGAGCAAATAGCTTTTTGGCTTTAGAAGCTCGACAGTTAATGCTCTCTCTTTTATTCCCACTTTCTGCGCTTCTCCCCAGTTGATCCCGTAGCATGCGTCTTCAAAGAGACTGTTTCAGCAGGGCCACCCTTTGAACGCTGCGGCTGGGTGACACTGAGAAACATATATGGGTCATTGCCTCAGATGCTCAATGAAATGTTGTTGAGATGGCAGATACTTCTCCTCCCCACACTGTCAACACTGTTACACTTGTCACGTTGGCTTTATGCCCCAACGACATCTACCCACAATGCACTTACTGCATTCATGGTTTGTAGCTGATGGGTTTTTAGAGGGAAGAATACAAGTTGAGCTCAATGCCATGCTGATTTCCACAGAAATGCTTCTAAAATGAATAAAAATGGTATTTGTGTTAATACATTTACAAAGGAAGTCTATGAAGTGAGGCATTTCACCTAGATAAATGTTAAAACAGAAAATATAGAAGCCTCAAATAATATAATATAATATAATATAATATAAGACTAGGGAGTAAGACTTTGCACCAAGATAAATGTGAATACACATAAAATATATAAGCCCCAAATAGTATAATTATTTAATAACTAATTGATAATTAATATAATTTAATTAATATAATATAATATAATATAATATATAATATAATGGAAGACTAGGGAGTCAGACATTGCACCAAGATAAATGTAAATAGACATAAACTATATGAGCCCCAAATAGGGTAATTATTTAAAAACTCATTTAAAATTAATGACTTCAATCTATGAAAATATTTAAGAATTTTGGATTATTTTTAAAAAACTGAGGGACAAGGAAAATTGTTGTCTGTGGTAACTGATTGCATGCTATAGATGTGTATGATAGAGCTTAATTTGTTTTGAACCTAAATTATTATTTTACGGTGTTCTTTTTTGGATTCCGTTTTAGGATCTGAAGTCCATGAGGTTCCAGGTTTCAGCTGATAAGAAGTTCATCCTGATGGCTTATAATATCCAACATGTGAGTAATATGAACATTAAAAAAAAAATCTAGTCTCATTTCCATGTTACCTGCAGTTAGAGAAAAATATGATTTCTTTATTATTTTCTTTATTGTTTCCATCACCATGCAGAATCATATCCCAGTTGGGATTTTGACAAAATCACTTAATGATGTATAAAGTGTTGCCTATTGTATGTAAATATGATATATCATGTCCTTTAAACGTCACATATCTTATTATATTTAAGAACCTATATGCTCTTTTAATGATCATGCAGGAACTGTTACAAAAGGATCATCGGAAATGCTATTTTTAATATCTTATTATCTAGAGGAAGATATCACAATAATGTTATGCATTTTGAAGAGGGTCAAAGTTGTAAATAGAAAAGATTTCATTTTTTCTACTTCAATTTCACATTTAAGTCAGTGTATTACTTGACATTTTTTTTGTAATTGTTTGTGAAATTTATTAGCAGTTTCTGAGTAAATCCTACTCTGATTTATTTATATATTTATTTATTTATGTATTTATTTATTTTATATATAGACTAACCCTAGCCCTAAAATAAGAACCTTGGATTTTACATGTGTAAATTAGACATTATTTAGTCCTCATTATTTTCTTAAAAGGAATGACTAGACAGAGCCCCACTAGTTTGGGTATATACATTTGGTCCACACAAAGATAGCAAAACCTGACAGATGCTGTGCACATATTGATTATGCATTTTTGTACGCCATTGTTAGGAGAGTGAACTACATCTTTTATCTACTGGACTGGACAAAATCTTTTCAGACAGGCAGGAGAGACCACTTACATCGTCCATAATTTCTGCAGCATGTTCAACACTGAACGCTGCTACGATCAACAGCCAACGTGGAAGGAATAGAATATTCTAACACAGAGGAGCTGGGGTGTACAGAAAGAAAGAAGGAGGGATACAGACAGGCAGTGGGTGAGGAGCTGCTTGGCACTGAATTGTAATGAGCATCACACTGGGGCAAGCCTTTGTGATTACAGCAGGTTTTAGTAACAGGCTGAGAATAAACAACTTGTAGGCTATTTGTCTGAGCAACCACAGCAATCTGTAGTTCTTATCCCCCTGCTGAACCTCCTTTTCAGAAAATAATCATCTCTGCAGTGGTGTTCTCTCTTCTCAAAGGAGGACGATGAAACAGGGCATAGACATGAGTAATAGAGAAAAAACAGGGTAAAGAGGAAAAAACAGGCAATGAGTGAAAACACTGACAGTACAATCCATATTCTCACTCTACTGAATTGCACTCGCACTCTCTCTCTCTCTCTCTCTCGACTTCTCTTGTGAATATTGCATTTTGTTGCTGATTAAAATAGGCTCTGTATTGTTTATTTGTCTCGAAATGTGATGTGGTGCAATCTAGTGAATGACATTTCATCCCAAAATCATAAAAATTAAGAAATTGTTTTTTTTTTGCATAAGTAAAATATCAAGTAATGCATATGATAAATCTATTATTGATTGTTTGCAGTGTGACAGTAATTTTGTGAAAATTAAGCACTACCTTGTTTTCAAAATTTGTACAATGATGAATCGTATTTATTTATTTATTTTTATAATTTACATTACTCAATGTCCCTGATTAAGCAGCCCAATTAAGCAGCAGTAAAAAGAAAATGTTGTACTATATATATATATATGCATTTATACGTTTCATCAGTTTTTTCATCAGTCATCAGTTTAATAAAATTTCATATATAATTATTTACAATTACATTGGAAAATAAGGTAAGATTTTGTTTCATTTGTGTGTGTGTGTGTGTGTCTGTGTGTATGTATGTATGTATATATATATATGGGTTATTTTAAAATAGCAAAATAATAAATGCATAAAAAATAACAATTTTAGCAATTCATAATTCATATACATTATATTTATAAATGAAATCAGTTTATTTCGGATAGACAGAGGAAAAAAGTGGCTACTGAAGTACACTCTAAAAAATGCTGGGTTAAATACAACCCAGTGCTGGGTAAAATATGGACAAACCCAGCTACTGGGTTGTTTTGACCCAGCGGTTGGGTTACTGCCCAGAAGGTTGGGTTAAATATTTAACCCAACCTTCTGGGCAGTAACCCAACCGCTGGGTCAAAACAACCCAGTAGCTGGGTTTGTCCATATTTTACCCAGCACTGGGTTGTATTTAACCCAGCATTTTTTAGAGTGTAGCATTTCATATAATGGAAGCAAATTGTGATGTGGTTTAGGCACTGTAAGTATGTTAACTTGCAGCTTAATTTGGACTAAAACAATAATTAATCTTTTTAAAATGTCATGTAAACACTTAGTGACATGCACGTGTGTTTAATTCTGTAGACTTTAGCTTGACTATGCAAAACCCCACTGTAGCTTGATTAGAACTGCTCATGTAAATGTACTGACTGTTATTCTCAATGCTTTATAACAGTGAAAAAGGTGGAATCCAATGCAACAAATGCTACAATTACATTTTATACAAAGCAATAATTGACTATTTAAATAATAAATATTATATTTTACATATTTCATTTTTTTTTGGCTTTGCTTTGCTTGAGAATTGGGAAAAATATGCAGAATTATCATGAAAAAATTGCCACAATGCAAAAAAATCGTAATGGTCCTAAAACAGGAATTTTTAATTTCTTTCTTTTGATATTGGTTCCTGTTTAACAGGATAAATGATGCCAATCTGTGTGGTCACATCTGCAGGGAAACACAGGATTTCTCTGTTAGTTCTCCACCTCTTCTAGTCACAATCGCTGTCTCTCTTCCTTTATCTCTCGCCCCCCTTTTTTTCCACTATCTCTAGAGATTATGTGCTGACTGAGGCAGTTTGCGGCTCAATTCACTGAACTAAGAGCAGCACAGAAATCACACAGGGAGGGGGGGATTACGGTGACTGAAGAAGACGAGGATAAAAATGATGTGATCTGCAGTCACCCTAAGATCACGCTGTCCAATCGAAATCAATTATAGAGACGGGATGAATGGGATGTGTGAATGTGTGCGAAGAGATTGGAAAGGGAACTGGGAGATAGGGAAAGAGGGAGATAGGAAAATATAAAAGGGGACACCAGAATAGTATAGTGAAATTGCAAGGGAAGGAAGAAAATGGAAAAGGGGAAGGAAGGCGAGTGTTGTAAAGGAAAAGAAGGTGAAGGCGAAATATGAATTGAAAGAGTGAAATAGAAATTGCCAAAGACAGCATGAGGGATAGTCTGAGCCAAATCAAAAGATACTGAGACACTGAGATATAGGAAATGTAAATTGTAAAAGGATAATTCAGCCAAAGACAAGATATCTGTCATCATTTACTCACCCACATGCCATTCCAAACCTGTATGGCTTTCTTTCTTCTTTAGAACACAAAAGAAGGCGTTTGAACTTCTAAAAGGACGCAAAAGCATCACAGAAATATTCCATATGACTCATACTCTTTATTCCAAGTCATCTGAAATCATATGATAGCTTTTGTGTAAGAAACAGACCAAAAGTCGTTATTTGCTGAACACATTGATACCTTGACACCTGAATCTTGGCACATTCGTAAGAGTTCATTAGAGAAATAGTAATATCTGATTTGAGAGTGGCTTTTGAGTCATGTATTGGTTGATCTGGTTCACAAATCTGGTCTTGGCTGGGTTTCCCAAAAGCAGTAGATCTTCAAAACCACCAATGATTGGCACCAATGGTCACTATAATCTTCTTAGGTTTAAAATGCTTTTTGGGGAACAAAGCTGAATGATTCTTTCATGAATCAGACTGATTCGATTCTCAAGTTCTCTCTGACTTAATGTCACAGTGGTTAACAACTCACTGGGGGAAAATTATAAGCAAATAACAACGTAAATTTGGGTCTGTTTCTTACACAAAGCTGTCTTAAAGGGTTAGTTCACCCAAAAATGAAAATTAGCCCATAAATTACTCACCCTCAAGTCATCCTAGGTGTATATGACTTTCTTCTTTCAGACTAATCCAGTCGGAGTTATATTAAAAATTGTGTTTGATCTTTCAAGCTGTTTAATGCCACTCAGCGGGTGTTGCATGCATCAGTCCAAAAAAAGTT